GTGGCTAGGATAATAATCAAAACTGTAACTCAGCTTAAGGGATCTGTAGGTCTGCGCACTGATGCTGTGCTGCGAAATGTGTATCTGTGGTGGCAGACTAAACTCAGTATTAGTGAGAGTTCCAGCTTCTGGTGTATGCCCGTTCTTTAGTTGTAAATACCTGCTGATAGATTCCAGTATCCTCTCTGTCTTTTAAAACTGTATTGTGCTCCACGGGCTCTTCGTACCTCATGAAAAAGAATTTAAAATTACTGTTTCAAACTCTTTTTAAGAAATGTGTGATGCCACCTTTCAGTTAAAATCCAGGTGCAAATATCTAAAATAATGTATGGTGTGTTCATAAAAACCGAGTTTCTCAAGGCTGTCTTCAGTTAATAAAGAGGTGGAAGATCAGAGCAGCAGCTTGATTTAGCTACATATGTCTTTTTTTTTTTACTCTCCCATCTTCCTTTCTGCTTTACCTTTTCCTTGTTAACTTTACAGCTAACCATGAGAAATGGGGCTCTGCAGCATAAAGCTAGCATTTGAAAATGTTTTTCTTCTATTCTCTTGTCAGCATGGCTGGGAGACATGATGAAAAGCCTCAATATAACATCAAAACACTGTTTTGTCTCTCTCTTTTTTTTTTTTTTTTTTTTAATATTGTTAGTGTTAATACTTTGGGTTTTGTCTGAAATTGGCCAAAATCTTATTTTTATAGTACTCATTCTTTCTTTTTGTTTCCCTTTGTTCATTGCTACTTATTTTACAGTTAGAAATCTGGGTATGTTTTCCTAAGTGTGTAACAGAGATAAAATACCAATGCTGACTTACTGTGGAACAGCTTGTACTGCTAAGTCACGTGGGAACATTTATCATTGTTATTCTCTGATTAAGAACATACTTTTAAGGCTTTATTATCTTTTTTTTTTCAGTAACTTATGACATGTTGTACCACATTTCTCTGCATTTCACCACTTAGTGTGAAGGTATCATTTTGCATCAGATCTTGGTTTTATGAAGTCAATGAGCCTTTAGCTGTAAATGAAGTCAATTCAGATTCACATTCTTAATAAAAGTCCATTAACAGTGATCTGGAATGTGATAAACTTGAGCTGGTGAATTATGTGGCAGTACTCTCATACTCGCTCTCATTATTTGCTTTAGAAATCACTGTAACCTATATCTAAGTAGAGGGCATTTATAAAGCTGTCTGGAAGTGAAGCTATACCAAAACCTATTTGATGACATAGCTTTACCACAAGAAAATGCCATGTGGTATAATTTTGGGGTTTTTTTGATAGTGTGTTTATAAATCATAGGGCAAGCAATCTGTCTAGCCTGGTAACATGACTGGTAACATTTTCCCACTAATACTAAGGAAATAGGGGTCACTTATGAAATTAGAACAGTTTGTGGCCGTGTTTCTTTTAAATGCGTGCATTAAGCCTGCAGATTTGGAACACATTGTTACTTCGCTAATACACGGGAAGTTACAGTACAAAAATCCCTTGTTGACCTTCTTAAATTAATCTCTCCAGCATTAGTTATTTCCTTATTTTTGGTGGGAAGACAGCAGAGTTTAAATGTGTATAGCATATTTAAGTGGTGAGATTTGTGCTCATAAAAAATTCATTGCAGTCTAAACTAGAATCAAATCATCTTTCCACAAAGGAAAGGTATTTCTGCTTTGGGGTACTGCTGTGTGTATTTGCTGTATATGTGGGTGTGTAACTGGCTGCTGGGAGAGCTGCTGTGCAATAAGATATTAACCATAGATTTAAACCTCTAGAGTTTTTGCAGCTGTTTGAAGCCAAGCTTTCAGATCTTGGGAATTCCATCTTTATTTTGTTTTAGGTAGGCTGTTTACTTTCCTCAAGCAATTTTTAAGCAGTATGACTATAGAAATCCTTAGAAATGGTATATAAATGCACATGCTCTGTGTACTTAGATATAGCACTGTCATTTTTTTTTTTCTTGTAATCTTACAAGTCTAACTGCTTGCATTTACCCTGGTCATGTTCAAAGATAACCATATGAATCTGCGATAAATTTCAAGGGGAAAAAAAAAATCAAACCACTGAACAGGATTAAGATTTTTTTTTTTAATCATTATTTGTTGTTTTCAGTTTTCTTTTTTCATCACCACTGAGTCCTATGCTCCAGTCAAACGATTTCATATTTAAATGAGGACATTAGATCTGCATAACTATTACTTGTCTGTTGCAATCAGTGCATTTCTTTGTGGCATGACAAAAGTCCTTGGCTTTTAATTGTTGTTGTGAATCATAATCTCATGGTCTGTGAGTATAAGCAGAGCTTGAAAATTTCATTTTATAGTGGATAGTGATTTGGAAGCTTTCAAAGCACATGCCTTTGTTTCTGCAGAGTGTAAGCTTCAATAAATGTAAAATACACTCCCAGTTACATTCAGTATTTGCAAATTCATAGGTAAACTGTGAAGATAGCTCATCCACAGCAAGACAGTTTCATGTTGAATGCTATTTTTCTTTGAACCAACATGTCTAGGGTTTTTTAAAGACAAAAAAAATGTAGTAAAATGTGGTGTATACAGACATATTACTTTTAAATAGTTCCACAGACTGAAGATTAGGTGGTGGAATTCAGAATCAAATTTTTGCAGTTGGCAAAATTTGCATTGATGCGTACCAATGCACTGCAGGTTTCAGTGCACAGAAGCTGTGTTGTTACTGCTGGAACAGAGACTTTTTTCTTGTTATTGCTTTGCATAACACCCAACATATGGGGGTCTTAAGGCTTTAGACATTTTGGTAATATAAATAATAATTTTTGTTCAATGTGCAATAACATTCTGTGAGACCTATAAACAAAGTTCTGCATTCTTTTTGCTGTATTTTCCAATATTGCAAATGAGCTCAATCTAAATGAAAGGGCAGAATTATTTTGAAAATTATTTTAAAATCAACAACAAAATACCAACTTGTTTCTCTGTAAAAATGCTCTCACATAAACAGTCTTTAAAACTCAGACTTAAAGTTTCCATGGAGACCTAAGCTGATGAAGTTGGCTGTATCATAAAACATGAATGTTTCTGAGAAAAATAACATTTTCATGCAATTTGAGGTATTTGAGTTCAACTCCACTATTCTTATTCTCAACTCTTTTATTCTGTCTGATAAAAAAGTTGCAAAGCTGAGGATTGCACAAATGTTTTCAAAGAATCACAATTAAAAATTCCGAGTCTTTGTGGGTTCAGCGTAGAGATGACACAAAAAAAAAAAAAATATTTTTAAGACATAGCTCGTAAGAAACATGTATCCTGGGCGATGTCAACTAGAACATAGCCAGTTGCTTAAGGGAAGCCATCACCCCTTGAATCAGCATTGGTTAGACCATGCCACTTTTAGGTTTTCTGGTACAAGAGGGATGTTAATGAACTAAAGTGAGTTCAGCAGAAGGCTTCATGTTGTTTATGGACAGTAGCTCCTGCCCTTGGAGGTCATGGAGAGACAGTGGGGCTTGTTCAGGCTCGAGAAGTAGCAGTTTCAAGGGGGGTCAAAGTCACCTGCTTATACCAGCTAGAAGACCAGTAACAACAATGGTATGTGGTAGAATAATGAGACAAGGGATAGAAACTGAAGTAAGAAAAGAGCCATCTGATTATAAAGAAAAAAATGAGGACAGTCAGATACTGAAAGGAGTTTTCCAGAGTGGCTGTGTGATCTCTGTAACTGAAGGTTTTCAAGACCCAGATGGCTAAAGCTCTGAGCAAGCTGACCTGACTCTATAGCTAACCCTGCTTTTGGCAGGAGGTTGGACTTACAGGCCTTTTGAGGTCCCTTCCAATGTGAATGACTCTGATACTGTGAATGGTCAATGCAGATTTTCTACAAGGCAAATGCTGGTGCAATGAAGATTTAATTAGTCTTTATTGAGTTGGAACTTATCCAACATATTCCTAGTGATTTTCCAGCTGCATTTTGTAAAGCTGTGAATGGTATAGAGCAGTGGTAAACCATATTTAGCCTCTGGGATAAGCAGAAGAGGTGGACACAGCTGAAAAAAAACCCTAGTTGTGCTTTGGAAATTTTCTGATTTGAGCATTACAGGGCATCTAGACTGAAATGTCTGGTCAGCTGGGCTTGGGAGTGAGAATGTGAAGAGAAACATATGTAAAAATTCTAACTTCTTTGCTTTTCCTATTTTCCACATCTCTCACTGCAGAAATTTGATTGTTACATTTCCCAAGAGGCTGTATCTTTGATAAGGTTAACAAAAGCATGGAAAGTTTGCTTTTTCATGAAATACCCATGCATGAATTGCCAAGTTTGCTTAGAGATTATCCATAATGGACCTACTATCAAACAGGAATGTTTCAGAAAGTAATTTCACTTTCAGTGGGGTCTTATGCCCTTGTCTATTCTGAAATAAGATTTCTCTACATCTCCCAATGAGCAGTATTAGTACTTATATTAACTGCAGCATCTCACCCTCCCCAGTAGATTGCAAAACATAATTCTGAAAATTAAATTGGGCTTTCTGGAACTTCCAAGACTTTTACAAGACTGTTAAAATCAGTATACTCTAGTAAGAGGTTTTGATAAAGTTAAGTAGGAAAAATGTCCCCTAGAATCATCTTCCAATGTATGAAAATGAACATTGGTTCAATACCAGCATGATAATGTTGACATTTCTTTAGCAAGAATCAGTACCAACATAATACACATCTAATTTCAGTTCTAGGATAAACAGTTTTTATTGTTTTTGTTCCTCTGTGTACTAGGATATAGAATATCATTCTTCCAAATTACAATGTTTTCTATTTTGTATTGAGTTTTTAGTAATTTTGTTAGATGTTTAAGTAAATCACCATGCTGTACTAGTCTTTTCTTTTTATTGATATGGCTGAGACTAGTCTAGAAAGAAATTATTTCATTCTTTTATATCTTGTGGAAGGTTGCATGTGGAAATAAGATCAAAATGAAATCTACTTTGCTCCAGTGTTGTTAAACACATCTTTGGTTTTTGTTTTCTTACAGCGAAAGATTTTTTTTAAGACTGAATAGAAATGGTTTGCCAAAATGTCCAGAAAAGCCTGAAAGACACTGTTCTCTCTTTGTGGTGAGTTCTTCCTATTCTCAATCTTTGTTGTGTTGGCTATTGAAAATAGAAGTTGGATTAAATTGTTATTCTGTGGTTGACTCAGAACTACTTCCTAAACCTTAACATCATTATGAACATCAGCTCTAACGGCTGATTGAAATGTATTGCTGAACTCCCAACTTTTCTGACAAAAGGTCATCTAAACTTCTATATGGGCATATATACTAGTCTTTCTTCCTGCAATAAGGACCAGTGAGTTTTCCTTCTTATGCATTTCACACTCAAGAGATTGTTTGTGCAGCACTCTCCGTACTTTCAGGAACTGCACAATTAGAAATTGCACAAATGCATTCATGACATTCAAGACTCACACGGTGAGTCTCTTGTGTCCCACCACTGATTTTGCTGTATTACAGCGTATTCTAGCCCATGACATTTTAGGACAGTCATTTTGAGGGCACGACTGCCAATTGGAAGTGTTATAGAGATAATTTGTTAATGTTGTATATTAACTCACTGTTCATTTATCACTTTCACTGGCAGTGAAAGCAGTGTGTAAATATCTCTTTAAATGTCGCATTTTAGTCAGGAGTGAGAAATAATGAGGTTCTGATCTTGTGCAGGATTTGGGTAGCAGTGAACTCAGGAAGGACATCTATATCACTGTGCACATTATCCGAATAGGTAGGTATAATCATCTGTGAGTAGAAATCTTACATTTGTTAGACATATGACAGTAAATAACACTTCTTGGGGTCAACTTTGGGATTGGTTAGGTTAGCAAGGCCTTGGAATAGATTTTTGAAAAGAAAATGCCTGTTTTCTGATGGAACATTTGCTTTGCTTTTCTTGGTGTTGTTTTGTGCTATTTTTCAAGTGTACTGCTGTCTGCGTTTAGATACAGGATATTTTGTTACCATCACAAAACAAAATGAAAATGTCAAATATGAGCTGTGTTAAGATGATGAAGTTGTCATTGTGGGGCCAATTCTTACTCCAAAGAGAGTAATTTCAAGCATCCTTTGTTCATAGAAAAACTTACCTCAAAATTTAATGTAACTAATTAGTATATAATATCAGATGTATATCTGTAATTATTCAGATTAATTTTGTCTTCTCACTGACCTCTTTAAAAAGGGAGAGAGGGAAAGAAGTGGAGAAAGTCTCATACCTTTAATCACCGATGCTGTAGACAGATACCAAGTCTTCTAGAATAATGCAGAAGGGAGGAAAACTGTACATTAGTGTTAGGTATTTTTTTAAGAAGTTATCCTCTGGGCCCTACTGACGTGAAACAATAATCTTCAGGTCTGCTTCTGACCTCTTAGATATATTGTTTTCTCTGTCTCTGTAGTTGCATCAGTGCAGTACTGAATAAAACTTTTTTTCCTATGTTTGAAAGATGTTTTGGTTTGAAAATCGCTTGCTCTAACTTGTGCTGAGTTCAGAACCAACTTGTTACAAAGTAAAAACTGTTTTACAGCTTGGAGGAGTAATTTTTCCTTGCATTTTGATGCTGTTTTAGTGTTTCAGGAGAATATTTTAAAATTGTGTTTTGTTTTTAATGGCAAGGGTTGGGAAATGGTATGGTAAACTCTGTAATGTAGAGTATATTTGGTAAGAATAAATGCTTTAAAGAAGAATACAGAGAAGATTTTTTTTCTATTGTATAGTTTTAAAATAGATCATCAGTCAAGTTTATAAATGAATCACTGAAATATTAAAAAGTTAAAATAACGTTTATATGCTGCATGGGGTGAAAATGAGCAATTACTCTTCCAGCTGCTGTGATGCCTAGCAGTATTTGGAGGAGCTATTGCCCTGCAGCGACTGCAGCCATAGGCTTTTCTTGTCGGAAATTAAGACTTGGTGGGAAAGATACATGGCTGCCAGTGCACAATTGAATAAAATGGTTAGAAAGAGGGCCGTTTCAAATGCCAGGGACACAGTGAGGAGATTGATCAATTGTATTTAAATCAAATAGAAAAAGCTAGAAAAAATATTTTGTTTCAAATCTGTTTTCTTTGGCTGCCTTCTTTCTTTCCTTATCATAAATTGTTCTTCTGCCCTTTGTCATCATCTTTCCTCCCTGTGTTTCATCTCTACTTGATTATTCTGCAGCTGGTCAATTATCCCCTTGCTAGCCAGTTGCCTATTTGGAAGCGGCATTTGATTACTAAATTGTAATGGCTCAATCACAACACCTCTTGTATAAATCATGGCTAGCAATCACCTCAGTAAAAAAATTCTTACTGGACAGCAAATGCTGAAAAAACTGTCATGTCTGAACTCTAAATTTAGTTTGATGGTATCATGAGTGTGCTGTTCCTGGGTACCAGGAAGTGTTTTTTGTCGAGTGGAGTTCATGAGAGGATGAGCAGTACCTCTGGTCTGAGATCTTTCCAGATCACCACATACTTAGTGGACTTCCTGTACCATTTGTTATCCTAACACAGTATAAAGATGGCCCAGATTTGCGATGTGTACTCTTGGCTTCTTCTACTCAGGCCTGTCACCATAATGAGCTGGATTGCTCTCTGCCTCCCTTCTGTGGTTTTAAGAGAGGCAGTTCTATGGATTTTGCATCAAATATGTATTTTGTTTGGCAGGACGAATGGGAGCTGGAGAGAAGAAAAATGCCTGCAACGTACAATACAGACGGCCCTTTGGCTGTGCAGTCCTCAGTATTGCAGACTTGCTGGCAGGAGATTCAAAGGATGACCTTGTCTTAAAAGTATACATGTAAGGAATGCTTTTTTTCTCTTAATTTTTAGAAGTATCTTGGAGTCAGTTTGCATTGGAAGCAGTGTTACTATATGCAGTGCAAGTAAATAGCTGTAGCTCCTTTCTGTTCAAAAAATGTGTAGTAGCTAATTGCTTTTTTTCCCTTTTTTTTTCTTTTTTCTCTTTTTTTTGGCTACTTCTACAGATGTGTTTATAAAGTGGGATGGATAATATGAAAGACAGAGGTTACATCCTTTTATATCTTGTGTGCGTGTTTCAGCATTTTTCACATCCTTGTAAGAGCTTCTGGAGTTCTCTTTATGGCAACATGAAGTGCTTTTAGGACTTGTTTAAACACCTTGTGCTGCCTAGGCAGCTAGTGGGAGTAAATTGAAGTAATTATATAATGGGAATAACAAAAATGTGAAAGACAGTGCTGGGGAATGAAAAATAAAAGATGGATTTAAAAATGAATGGTTTATTAAATAGTGGATTTGGGGTTGATAGTAATTGGAAGAAAGTTTAATTTTATAGTTGTGGCAACACAGTGCATGTAATTTCCTGCTAAAAAAAAACTGCTGATCTTGAACATTATAGTGAGAAACATTTTGTGGAGTGGTCTATTCTAAGTACATAAACCTGGGACAGGTTGTCTTGGACCTGAGGAAGTTTTGCCCCTCCCAGGGTTAGCACTCAAATCCTGAAGGCGTGGAAATCTTTCAGGCAGCCTTTCTTCTCTCCTCTGTATTCCTCTGGGCTGAATTAGAGTTGCTGGAATCAGTGCTGCAGAAAACCAATTTAGTGTGACAGTGGACATGTGGGCTGGCTCTTATTTAGACTCCCAGGATGTTAAAGTCAAATAAGTGTTTGCTGTTGTCTAGCAGATTTGTTAGATTTGTCTGCCTATTTTTTTTTTTTTAATCTTGCCTGTGTGTTTTAAAGTAACAAAAGCAATGGAAGAAGAAACATTGCTCAAAACCAGATTTGATGCTAAAACTAACTCCAGTCTAAACCATGAAAAGTTGGTATCTAGAGCATGGTCAGGTTTTCCTCATGGAAAAGCAGCTATTTTCTGAATGTATATTGAAATATCATTTGCTCTTTCACTGACTACCTCCTGAAGATCACATCCTGTTTTAAACAACTTTGAAGTGTACAGCACACGTTTTTCTCTCTACTAAAGCTGCCTCGGAATCCTGTATCTCCTCTTGGGTCACAAGACAGATTTCTGTGTGGTTTAGCACTGAAGGATAGATCTATACAGATGATGAACTTGGTCACGGCTGAGTTCCTGAGCATAATTGCTCATATCTTTCTCCCACCCTTTGCCACATGAGGCAGATATTTCCTTGGTGCCTTTCTCAAATGGTAAGTGTTCTCACCATTTCCATTGAGACAGGTAGTTTCAAGGGGGTTTATTAGCTCCTATTGGTTTAGTTTTGTGAACAAAAGAATGTTTGTTTAGAAATATGTGGTGAAGCTGGTCTGAAAAAATTGTGTTCCCAGTTCAGAATTAAGAAAGATATTATTTTTGTAGGTGCAACACAGAGAGTGACTGGTATCAGATCCATGAAAATATCATTAAAAAGCTGAATGCACGTTACAACTTGACAGGCTCCAATGCAGGTAAGATGCCAGATTTCTGTTTGTCTTCTTAGTGTTTTTGTAGTTTGTAAATGAAGTAGCTTTATTTTAGAAGGACTAATATCTATGAAATAAATATTTTTTCACATAGAGAAAAATACTTGTATTAGGTGAAAATGTGTGATATTGCTATTCATGTGCCTATTTAAGAAAAAAAAGTCACTAAATAAAGAGCAGTACAGAATTTCAGCAATGCAAGTAAAAGGTAGAGAGTGAAAGAGGAAGTGAGCAGTAATGCCACTTGGAGTACTGAAAAAAGAAAACATAAACTTTGAAAGGTTATTTACATCGCACGTGTGAAATTTGTTCCTCTGGCTGCTTAGTAGTCTGAAAAAGCACTTGTGAGGCTTTAGCAGTATGTTCAGATACTTCTGCTGACACCTCATGGAAAATACAGTTGTTACACTACTTTTTATTTTTCCTTTGGTGTATTTTTCTGTAATAGTATTGAATGGCTGATTCTGAAGCCTCATTAGCCTTGTAATCCACCTTATAGTTGTCAAAAAAAAAGAAAATGCTGCATTACAGGAGACATGGATCTTTTCTCTTTCTTAGGAACCATTGCAGACATGAGCCAAATGTAGGAAAACTTTTTGGTTGGTATCACATTTGCCTTTCACAAATCACAGGAAAAAGACTAAGAAAGGAAACACAGTAAACAAACAACAGTAAAGATGCTTCAGACTGTTGTATCCTATTGGCTTGTTTCCTCTTCAGATTCTGTCCTGTACAGTTTCCTTCAGCTTGGGAGATTTTCACACGTCGTCTTTCTTTTTCACAAGTTGTTGTCTCCCACTACTGAAATAGTTTATCAGATAATTCAGAATGTTCTTCAGAAAAAAAAAAAAAATTCTCCCAATTTTCTAGGGAAAACGAAAAAGGAACTCAAAAGATTCAGTGTCTTGCATGAAAAACACACATTTCCATACTATAGCATTTGTATATAACATTCAAACCCCCACTCCCCAAAAAAGTACTTTTTCTACTTTAACTTATGACAGTTCTTAAGTACAGAATCCTCTTGCATCTTATATCTCAGCTCATGTCTAAAAAAGATCAGATAAAGGCAAATGACCTTCACTTCTTTATACATCCCAGAAATGAGCAGGGGCCAGATATTCATCCCCTTTTCTCTTCTTTGTGGGTGCAGGAATGGAAGGACTCAGCCTCATGGATAATTCATCATTTGCTGGAGTGGAAACTGAAATGTATTTTCTGCATGAATTTCCAGTCTAGCAGAGACTAGAGTGGCAGGTAGTGGATCAGATGACCATTCACCACTGGTCTTTTCAGCTGGTGTCAGCTATCAGCTTACTGGAAAACACCTGGTTGCCTAGTGTAGATCAAACCATTGATGGAAAGGCCAAACTGCAGCCTGTGCTGCATTTAGAAGTAGCATTGTTATTTCTTACCTTGATTTTTTAGTATTTGTAGAATAAGTTCTCTTAGATCTAGATCATTTTGTAATTACTATACAAACCAGGTTTGGGGAATATCTGGAGTGGAACTGACTATAAAAACTGTTTTTCCTATAATATTCTTTCTTAGAATTATAAGCAGGTTACTTTGTTTTAAAACAGAAAAATCTGTGGAAAACTGAACAAACATTCCTGCATAGAGATCACACCTAATTACACGAGTCTTACAGGGAAAATAACATGTTTCTATTTTTGTATCTGTAGGTCAAGAGATCAGTGAAATGTATATTACAGATACAGAAAACAGTTACTGGCTTCTTTCAAACCATACAAAATCATCCTCTGTGGTATATTTTAGATAGTGAAGCCTAGACAAAGTCACTGTTTCCATATCAAAAACTGGACTTCTGTCAAATAGCAAAATGTCTTTCTAGGGTTTGCAGTGTGGGCAGAGTTGCAGGTCTTCTTTAGAAGTGACTGTGAAACTATATTCTGGACTGTTCTTGGATCTACAATAACAAATTGTATTGCATGTGGGCTGCTTTTGTCTTTGATAAAGCAGGCACTAATGCACAAAGTGCCTTGTAAACTGTTATTGATCATATAATAGCTGCTGCATTTGACCACAAAATTACAGTGCCATGAGTGAACCTGTTGATTTTTAAAATGAAGTGTGCTTTAGGATGGGGGCAAGAGAACAAGGCCACATCTGGTTGTCATTAAACATGGTTCTGTACAAAAATAAATACATAAAAAACAGAGAATGCTACTGCAATAGTACATGTTTATGCAGCATCCTGGATTTCTTTTTTCTTTTGTTTTTTTTTTGGTAAGAATTTATCGTGTGCAACTTTATATTCTTGCTTTCTCTCCAGTTCTTTAGCCTTTCAAAAGTTGAAATGTATTTTTTTTAATAGCGCACATGATGATGGAAGCAATATGTAATTGCAGCAGAGCTTTATATCTAGTGATTGGAGCAGTCCTTTGGGCTCTGAACGTAGAGGGTGCTTGTCCACAAAAATTAACCACTTATCAATGTGAACAAGTTACACAGGTAAACAGGGATGGTTCTTGCTGTAATCCCTACTTAAACACCACCAGCATCATCAAAATACCCCCTTAGGCACAAGGTCTTTCTGTAGGTACCTAAAGCTCAGGTAAATTTTATTTCTGCCATTGCTAGTAGTTGAAAAAAAGTGGGTAGCTGGCTGCACCCAGGACGCTTGCACTGTTAGGAAGTGGATGAGCTAGCTTTAGCTATTTGGGCACTAGGCTGAAAAAAAAATTCTGCAGATGATTGCTGTGATTCTCAAGCACATGCTGTTTTAGGGAATATATAAATATTCACTGGGTTTACCGTAGAAATTATTTACTCCAGTGTTTGAGACATTCTTCAAAGACAGAAAATGTCTTGCTTCAGACTCTAATTTGGAAAAGGATTTTCAGTCTGTCTCGCATGTCCCAGATGAGCATGCTAATCACTTGGCTTCTCAGACTTCCCTGCAGCAACTATTCAGCTTTGTATACAATCAGAAAATATTCATGATACCATGGGGAAAGGGAAAGTGTCTCTAAAGCCTGCCAAGCAGTGCATGATTTTCCAAAGTGTGATCTGTTTTCATGTCCTCTTAACAAATCCTGTTGAGGAGAGATTTAAACCTTGGTCTCGTGTTACATATGAATATTCTCCCCCGTGAGTTATCTTATAAAAAGCATATTAAAAAATTCATGAAAAATGTACTACAGCTTCCTCTTTCTTCACCCTCCTTGGAGAAGGAGGACTGGATATCTTAGTTTTAAGGGATTGCAAGACATTCTTTTTTGCTCTGCTTTTTAGTTTAGGTTCCTAGCATTCTCACGTGCAAGCTCCTGTGTAAATGCCTATTTAGATTCCCTTATAACAAGTCTTGAAAAGCCACATGTGCCTGATGCAGTAATTCTTAGATCTGAGACAAGAAACACCACACTTTTTAGTTGTTACAGCAAAGGAGGTGAAAATCCTTTCTAATCCCATAGAGATTAAATTACTGCTGTGAAAAATTCTAAACATAACTAGCTGCTTTGTAGATTTGGGCTTTTGGGTGGATTCCATGAAAAGAGTAAACATAGTGGGAAGGTCTTTTCCTGTGCCATCATCTTGGACTGCTCTGATGAACTAGGCAAGAGTGATGTAACCTAATTGCACGTTTACTGAATACAGTAAATGTGCAATACAGTGTGTACTGTGGTAGCAGTGCCAACTTTAGATGGCAGCTCCACTGGAGACGTCGTTAATTATACATTAACTTTAATTGATGGAAGGGCCTTAAGCTTTAGAGGAAAACATTCAAAGTGGTGGGATTTCTCTTGCTACTCTTGTCTTGAACATGACTTTCTTTTTTTTTTGTAGTGGGCTGGCAGTGTTAATTTTTTAGCTCTTGTATAGAGTGTCAAAATACAGCTCTTGAAAAATGTACACACATAATATCCTCTTGCCTAAAGTTTAGGTCATAAAAAGAATACAATCAGAAATTACTTTATTGTATCTAGTAGTTGGCAGGAACATGAACTTTTAAATATGATGGAGGCAAGACATGAATTGGGAGGCTGTTTTTTATGATGAATGCAGGTTGTGGCTTGATTTGTAACATATTGTCTTAAGTCTGTCAGCCACAAACTGTTAATTTCTTTGAAAGAGAGAGATGCTCAAATAGGTTTTTCAAATAGTTTACTGTCACTAATGAATTCAAACATGTTTCCATGTACCTGTGCAAAAATCTGCATAGTCATCCAAAGTGATGCTGCCTAACAAAAAGAGACTGGTTAATAAGTGGGCAACTGCATAATGGCCTGATTGAAGCATGGAGGACCTGAAGCCTGTTGTTGATGGGTGTTTGATAAGAATCCCATCATGAGGAAGGGCAAACTTCTCTTCATGATTTCCATCATAGAGTGAGTCAGGTTGGAAGGGTCCTCAGGAGGTTATATGATCCCACACCAGTTCAAAGATGAACCAGCTTCAAAGTGGGATCTCTTAACTTTTTTTGAAGTTCAGTTAAGTTGCTCATTCAAAAGCAAATTTCATTACACTGCTATTATTTTAATTCATCCAGACCCCAGTAAGTTTCATAAAGCAAACATCCTTGGTTTTAGGGAACTATTATTGTCTTTTTGCTCAGTGTACATGTCAGTTGGCACTAAATCTCAGTCTAGCTCAGTGGTCATATAAGACTCGTTCAGAGAAGGCACAAGGTAGACCGGCCCAATGCATGAACTCATCTGACAAGACACAAGTTCTGAGACAAGTATGGCAATGGAGGCAGTTGGATGAAATAGTGGTAGGAGCTTTGGGGCAGTATGTCTTCCCACACCTATGTACCTGCATTCAACAGCCTCCTGGCACTGTAATATTATGTTTTCTTCCTAGTTACTGTCAAAACCATATATGTTGTCTATTTCATCTCCTATTTCACTAAAAGTAAGCTTTGACTTACACATTCTTTGATTTGGATGGAGAACCCTGTTAAAGTCATTATTTACCTTGCTGTGGAGAAACTGTAGAAGCCCCATGAAGTGAGGTAACTG